TTTGGCTTGTAATTTTTGTGGATTCTCAAGAGAGGCTGGAGTAATAGCGACTTAGCCTCAGAGGGGTGCATTACCAATACTTTCATTTATATCTTATGTGAGGGAAAATAATTAAAGATTCATGCATATTACATTGGGAATAATTGAATCAAGGAATAATAATAGCTAGGTTGGGATGGCTGTGCGAAACAAGAAAATATTATTGAATATAATTGATGGAGGCTTCTTTGCATTTTCTGCGTTTAAGGCCCAAAGGCTATTGTGATTGCTTGATGAGAGGCTACTAACCGCAGATCATATGCTACAGATCTCGTAAAGTCTCATGCTGATCTCAAGAGAAACACCCCATATTGAAGGCTATGGGTCTCTAAGCTCGAGTTAATCATTTTACATACAAAAGCTGAAAAGTATCCTAAAAAAGTACCAAAGAAAAGTCTTTTTACTTTCCCCAGTTTTCAGTCTTTTGTACCTTAGAATCCTTTGAATCTTTTTGGTTGATTTTTTGAGGATACCAGTGGACCCAAACCTTTTTACACTCACAACTTGTTTAAATTTCCAACATGATTGTGCCCCCCCACCCCCCTCTTCAAACCTCTTCAAATCTCCGATGTATGTGTAACTTCATTGTCAGGTTAAGAGCATGAGCAAAAAAGTATTCAGCAGTCTGTTCAAAGTTTATATACCTAATTATAATACGAAATTTAGTTAATATTACTGAGAGCGACACATAAAGATAGAGGGAAATGGACACTGCCATCTCATAGAACCTAAGAATTAGAGTAATAAACGGCACAGGTGCAGCTGCAGTAGCTTTCTGTTTACCGCCAAATGACGGAAATATCTGCTGCATATCATTGCTCAGGGACTAAGTAAACAGCACCCTCACAAGCCAGAGTTCTTAATGGCACATTTTTTGTAAGATGGCATGAAGTGCTAATAAAGGAGGGCTCAGTCTAGGGACTAAATAGAAGGTTGGAAAGGTTTGGTTTGGATGTTGGGGTTTGTGTGATAGCCTGGTTTTGTGACTGTCTCTGGAGGGTGCTTCACTCTCAGTAACAAATACCCAAAATTCTTTAGGAATTTTGCAATATATTTTTCTCTGAGGCTTTGTGATCCATCTGCTAAATCACTATAATTGGTGTTTTACTTCATTAAAGAAGAAGAAAAGCTAAATATTTAAAACCACCAGTCCCAATCTTTATCTGAATGGTGATGAGTTTCCCACACTTTGAACCTAGTCATTCACCATATTTTGCAGTTTTTGGCTGTAGCCTACCTAAATTTCTGGAAATGGAGGCTCAAACAAGTCATTAAAACCACTTTTGAGAGGATGTACCTCCTGAATATACCTGGAGCCAGACAAGCAAAAAAAACTGTTAAGGGTGCACAACTGAGAAGGTAGCATTTGAAATTAATTAGTTTATGGTATTTACATGAATGAGGAAACTACCAGAGGTGGGCTCTTACAATCAAATGGTAGTTTCCTCATTCATGTGTTAATACCATAAACTAATTAATTTCAAATGCTACCTTCTCAGTTGTGCACCCTTAACAGTTTTTTTGCTTGTCTGGCTCCAGGTATATTCAGGAGGTACATCCTCTCAAAAGTGGTTTTAATGACTTGTTTGAGCCTCCATTTCCAGAAATTTAGGTAGTTTTTGGCTGTAGCCTACCTAAATTTCTGGAAATGGAGGCTCAAACAAGTCATTAAAACCACTTTTGAGAGGATGTACCTCCTGAATATACCTGGAGCCAGACAAGCAAAAAAACTGTTAAGGATGCACAACTGAGAAGGTAGCATTTGAAATTAATTAGTTTATGGTATTAACACATGAATGAGGAAACTACCATTTGATTGTAAGAGCCCATCTCTGGTAATTTCTTAGTGTAACTAAAACCTAAATGCCAAAGGGTGAATGGTCAATGTCAGCATTCTGCTTTAGATACACCTACTTGTTGCAGGCCAATATACAGCATTTGATTATGACATTATGTATATATATATGAGATCTTGAATGCCCAATGGACAATTTTACAAAGATAAGAAAAAAATGAAAATCACAGTTATTTGTAATGAAATATTATTGATTTTTTTCTTCCAAAATGTGAGTTAAGGGTATGTTTGTACATGAATTAGGCTTTGCTTTGAGACTCCCTATAATATATTGGAGTTTATATACTCTGTCTCAGCATCCTCAAATTTGATTTGATTTTTTAAGTTGATCATTTCTATTGTAAAGGGCATTGTAATATAAAGATCATCTCGTGGGGGGATTTTTTTATTTTGTAAATATAAGCAAGTTATTGGCTGTTCTATACTGGAAAGTATAGATTGACACTTTTCCTCCCAAAAGAATTAAATAGAAAATAAAAAATTGGCCAGTTACATTATCTTTGTATAAAGTTGAAACAGCTGTCGCATCATTGTAGTAGTTCATCTCGTGGGGGGATTTTTTTATTTTGTAAATATAAGCAAGTTATTGGCTGTTCTATACTGGAAAGTATAGATTGACACTTTTCCTCCCAAAAGAATTAAATAGAAAATAAAAAATTGGCCAGTTACATTATCTTTGTATAAAGTTGAAACAGCTGTCGCATCATTGTAGTAGTTCCTTTTGGTTCAGTGTGTTTTTCACTTGTTTTGAAAAAGAGAGGAGAAGAGAAGAGAGATCTCTTCTTTCTTCATTTTTCTTTTGAAGATATATGAAAATAGGATGTGAAAGCTAATTACAGAACATGAATCAGTGGTCTTTTTGTAATGTGAGAGATTACATATGAATATTTTTTTAAAGTAAAAAAGTTTTACACACCACATATGATTTTTTGGCATTTGCATGCCAAATGTATATAGTGTGCATCATGAAGGTTTCAATTTGTTAGGTCCACTCATAGGAATGAAGGTAGTTCATTGACTTGGCTAACTTGAAAATCACACAAAAAAAGGCCCAGAAAGTTCTTTTGTTCCTAGTTTTCTAAGATATTTGGACAATTATTTCAGCAAGACAGCATTTCTAGAGAGAGAAACAATTTTCTGTATTCAAGTTGTCATTATTTCCAATTACAAGATCCCTTCTCTCTCTTTCCAGCCTTGACCCACGATGATTCAGGTGGGCATGTTCAGCACCCCACCCCCACCTATACCACAGGGGAAGCCCCCACCCCCTCCAATGGGGGGTGGGGGGGCACAGTTCCAGCCGCTATCCTTCAAACCGTTTAAGGCCCCAGACGGAGAGTTCGACGGCAAAAGGCTGCGCAAGAGTGTTATGCGGAAGACGGTCGACTACAACTGCTCTGTGGTGAATATGCTGGAGTGCCGTG